TAATACACACTCTCTAGTGTCGTGGGTGTGATCCTGAAATAGTTTCCTCCACTAAATGTTACTCTAATGGATTCAACAAATGGGAGGACTGAAAGCTGAGTAAAATCATACACAACAGCTTGTTTTTCTATATTCCGTTTTTAAAAATGGCTTAAATTTTTCTCAGCTTCAGCAGGTATAAGAACATCTAACCACAACCATCTGATGAATCCAATATCAGTAAAGGTGCCCTTGAATTTTCCTCCCATGGGCCCTCTGGACTCCTAAACACCAGGATTCATTGGAAGAAGTTAGGATCCAAGGCCAGTAAGCATAGCAGGACCAGAACTGTTCTGACATGCCCCTCCCTGCCTTACACTTTTCTAGAACCCCTTTCTGATTCTTCCTTTCCTACAATGTACTAAACCATCTGTGTGAGCACAGGGTCGACTCACTGTCACAACAACTTCACACTTAACAGGGCTGAGAAAGATTCCACAGGCTGCAATGTCAATGACTCTGACAGTGACAGCGCTCACTTGTTACAGATTTGGGGTAGAAGATGAGTTGCAGCAGGAAAGCAATCCAGTTGAACACAGTCTACTAGATTTTCGCAAATCCTCAGATATGAATTACAGTGTTATTGTAGACTCTACACTGCAGAAAATGTGATGTCTTCTTGAAAGCACATTTCACTACCCAATGCAGCAAAACATAATAACCTGGAGGTTCTAGTTCACTGAAGAACTACTGTGGGCTACATTTGCAAACACACAGATATTATACTTGGAGCAAGCACAGGGAATAAGGCCTCTAAATTCTCTCATACTCAACCCATGTTAAACTGCTTGATCGACTGCTTTGGAGCCCAGCACCAACACCAATCCCACTGATCACACTGTGCAGAAATAAGCAGAAAGAGGCCATAATGCCAGTGCTGAAGAACAGCGTCGGCACCTTGGACTGGGACGGAGGAACAAATGGACCTAGGAAAGATACTGGCCACTGCATGAGGACAAATACATCTCAGCCCCCAAATTTCAACTCCCTGCTGGACAGTTCCACCTCAACCTCACCCTATGTTTTGCGCCAAACCAATAATAATAAAACCAACATTTCCCCAGTCACTCGGGGCCAAGGCTGTAGTTGATCGTTCAATCTACAAAGGGGGTTTGAATCCTCTCCATCCTCACCTTGAAGTACCGTTCACACTCATTTTTTCCATTTCCATCCCATCGTCCCATTCAAGAGATTATTCCTTAAACCAAACCTTGAGAAAATATCTCCAGATCTGGCCGCATAGCCAACTCAAACATTTTCTAATGAGCCGGGACAAGCACCAGGCTCCTTTCACAGGAAGTATCTGGACACGAGGGCTCGGACCAAGGGCTCTGACTCTCCATAAGTCTCCTGTGTTGCTAGTTTTTGTCATCTCTTCTTTCTCCAGGATGATTAACAATTAAATCTTTGAAAAGAAAAGAGATTATGGCTTGTTTTCATGGACAACCTGAAGAAGCAGGCAGATTGCTTCCTACACCACAGTGATGCCTTCGAGGGAAATGAATCCCAAGATAAAAAATAAGTAAAAGCAACTTTAAAAAGAAGAAAAGGAGCCCTGGCCGGTTTGGCTCAGCGGTTAGAGCGTAGGCCTGTGATCTGGAGAGACCCGGGTTCCCTTCCCGCTAAGGGCACATACCTCGGTTGCAGTTTGTCCCCGGCCCGGGTTGGGTCGTGTGGGTGGCAACCACTCGATGTGTCCCTTTCATGTCGATGTTTTTCTCTCCCTCTCTCCCTCCCACTCTATATGAACAAAATATCAAAAAAGAAGAAGAAGAAAAGGAGCCCGGCTGATGTGGCTCAGTGGACTGAGCGTAGTCCCATGGACTGCGAGGCCCAGGTTCAATTCCTGGTCAGGGCACATGCCCAGGTTGCAGGCTCCATCCCCAGTAGGGGGCGTGCAGGAGGCAGCCGATCCATGTTTCTCTCTCACTGATGTTTCTATCTGCCTCTCTCTCTCCCTCTCTTTCTAAAATAAATAAAAACATATTTTATTTTATTTTCCTTTACTGATTTTAGAGAGAGAGGAAGGGAGAGAGATAGAAACATCGATTGCTCACCTCCTGCATGCCCCCCACTGGAGATGTAGCCCACAACCTGGGCATGTGCCCTGACCGGGAATCGAACCAGTGTATGTGCCCTGACCAGGAATCTTGGTGCATGGGTCGACGCTCAACCACTGAGCCACACCTGCCAGGCTAAAAACACATTTTTAAAAAAGGAAGAAAGAAAAGGAGCTCTGGCTCATGTGGCTCAGATGGTTGGAGCGTCGTCCCATAAACTAAAATGTCGCAGGGTTTGTCCCTGATCAGGGCACATGCCCAAGGTTGCGGGTTCGATCCCCAGTTGGGGCTCATACAGAAGGCAATTGGTCGATGTTCCTCACATCGAGGTTTCCCTCTCTCTCTCGGATAGACGGCGTACCTTTGGATGAGGACTGAAGGAAAAGAAGAAGCAGAAGAACAGGACAGTGCACAAAGCCAGGACTATGAAGACTTCAGGATGAAATCCAAGGATCTTATTCTATATTTAAGAAATGTCCATCTTAACTAGTGACCTAGTAGGTAAGAAGAAACATGTACATCAAAGGAAAAGTAAACAGAGGCGACTACACCAACAGCATGAAGCAAGTACTTCAAGAGGTCACAGGAGAAACAAAAAAAAATCAAGAACCGGGGCAATGGACAAGTCAGGATTCTGAACTACCTTGGAGTGTTCAGGTGTAAGTCGACCAGTTTGGCTGAAGCAAAGAACACTGAGAGGCCAAGATGTGAGCCAGGGTATCAGCCCCCACAGTTCGGGTCCCCTGTTCATGTGCTTTCCTTGCCTCTCCTCCAGGGACTGACACAATTGGTTAACCTATTAGCTAAAAGTCAGTCACATGCCAAGAACTCAAAATGTTGGTAAGTTTTACTATATTTATTCTCAGAATAGTATAACATAACACTCTGAACTCAGATTTTTAAAATATCTGTATTAAAAATAGCCAAACTTCCAAAGTAAAGAAACAAGGATCCATAAATCAAAACAAAAATTTTAAAGCATCTAGACACTCTTACAAAAACACTCTTAAATTAAAATTTTTTAAACTGCTGACATCCTCTGGAGGAAGCAAAAAAAAAAAAAAGGAAAGTTTGATAATGTAATAAGTAGTTTTAAAACAGGTTTACAATCAGTTTTAAACAGTAATCCCTCTGGGAAATAAACATTCTTCTCTTTAATCCCTTTGAGGGCAATATAAAATTTGAATCAGGAACAAGACCACATTGTTTCTAAGTTCAAATGTGACCCTTTTATAGTATCTTCAATAATAAATAGCAAGTAGAGGATAAGACAATTTCTAATTATCACAAAAATCAGCCGGCATTTTGCACTTACAACATGCCTTTGCTGACATATGCAGGAGCTTCAGTTAAGATGAAATCAGGGAACTTCAGGGTTTTAGTGGACAGTGATTACTTAAACTGGAGCTTATTCCTGTGAAATGAAACTTCCAGAACCCCTCAATATCAATTTGCTTGTCACTAAGCCACAGGCTTACGCTCTGTCTTGGAAATACTAACAGGGTGGAACCATGAGCCTTTTATTAAAACGTGATGACCATGGAGAGCGCCCTTGAAGCTCAGCAACAGACTCAACTCTTAAAGGGTTCCCCTCAGGAAAGGTTTGACATGTTCCCCAAACCCAGTCCTGAATCGCTTGACTGCATTTTCCACAAAAGGTGTGAGTTGTAATAGTAGCATTTAGCAGACGCCAGCCCACTAGAAGCAGATGGAACCCACCAACTCATTTTACCCAAACCTTGAAAACTGTCTCTGCTTGCCAAGGCAGGGCAGATCTGAATGGGTGACTCTAAGGAAAGGTTTCACAAGCAATTACTTCATAGGGATTTCATTTGCCTACTGTAGCCCCAATGTAAAACAGGATCTGAAAAGTGAAAAGCAATTTGAAAGCTCATTCTCCATACTCAAGGTAAGCGTGTGCACATACACACACACTCCAGCACAAGGGCTTTTCCAGGAGCCAAGACTAGCTGAAAACATGCCCTGCTTATGTACATAATTCACCAGGGGTCAGGTAAGATTGCATTTTGTAACAGCTGAACTTTAAACAGACTGTCATTAGTGGTGCAACATTCACTCATTAGCATACAGTTACCCTTAGAATGAAAAGCACTGGCTGTCTCTGCTAGGACACAACTTCACAGTCAGAAGCTGGGGCCAAGGGCCATGAACTCCTAGAAAGTTCTATGACCGGCCTCCAAGGAAGAGCTCACCATCTCCACCAGCCTAAACTTAGCCTGGCTCCCCACCGAATACAGCATTGCTAATACCGTAATTTTTTTTTTTAATAAAAAATAAAATGACGGACCCAAGAGTCAGTAGCAGGCAAAGCCTTACTGAGCTGACGATTCCTGTTTGGGATTGGGGGAGGGGGAGGAGCTTTCTGGATGTTTCTGTTCTTGGCAAGGAGAGCACCTCCGGGTCCTGCTCCATCAAAAAGCACTAACACAGGGATGTTCCTGGGGAATGAATGATGTGCCTGTGCTCAGCAACCTCATCTTGGGGTGTGAGGATGGGAGCAAATGGGGAGGGCTGCAGGGGGGATCGGGGAAAGTGTTTGTGGTGGGGGGCCGGGTGGGGGATGGGAGGAAAGAATGAGCGGACGAGGGGGGTCAGAGGAGATGTGCAAGGTTAAGAGGGAGAGTGTGGATGACTAAGGGAGGTGAGGGGAAGCTGTGGGTGGCCCGCGGGGAGAGGGGAAAGGTGCGGACCGCTAGGGAGGGTTGGGGAAGGTGTGCAGAGCGGACGGATGAAGGGATGTCCATCAGCTCCCCGAGAGGCAGCACGAAGGCTGCCCGGGGGGATGGCCTCGCCCAGGCTCCCCCACCCCCCTTCTGTGGGCGTGTGCCCCGCTGCGCGTGTGCAGGGGCCAAGCCAGCAGGCCGCAGGGCCACCACTCACCCCACGACTCCCTGGTTGTAGTTCCTCCGCTTCCACGGGGTCCCGCTGTACACGCCCCCGCCGCCGTCGGCCCCGCCGCCCCCCGCGACCCGCCCTCCGCTGGGCTGCAGCAGGCTGTAGTTGAGTCCGTAGGTGCTGGCCTTGTTGTCGCGCTTCCTCTTGTTGCTGCTGCCCGAGGCCGGGTCGGCGGGCTCCGCGGCGGGGACGGCGGCCGAGGAGTGCGGGGAGGGGGTCGCCGAGGGGGACGGGGACGCCGCGGGGCCAGCGGCAGCCCGGCGGGCCCAGGCCGCGGGCTGGTGGTGGTTGTTGTTGTTGTTGGTCGTCTCCAGGGGCAGGAAGTCCCGCTGCTCCGCGGGCAGCGCGGGGCCGCCCAGCAGGCGCTCCCCGGAGCGGTACATGCCCGCCGGGGCCGGGGCCGGGGCCGGGGCCGCGCCGCCGGGGCTGCCGGTGCTGCTGCCGCTCCCGCCGGTGGCCGTGCTGCTGCTGCCGCCGCCGCCGCCGCCGCTCACGCCGCCGCTGCTGTGACAGTGGTGGTTGAAGTAGAGGTTCCTCAGCCCCTGGGTCGTCTCCCAGATCTGCATCCACAGACTGTTGGACGGTCCGAGCTGCTCTGGCTGGAACCAGGCGATCCTCGGATCCATCAAACGGCGGCGGCCTCTGCCCCCGCCCCTCCCGGCCGCCCGCAGGGCCGCCGCCGCCGCCGCCGCGCCTCAGGCGCACGCCCGGCCTCGGCTGCTGCTGCTGCTGCTGCTGCTGCTGCTTCTGCTGCTGCTGCTGCTGCTGCTGCTCCGGGCCCGCCGGCGGCGTCGCTCCCGCCCTCGGGGACTCCGCGGGCCCTCCCCCTCCCTCCGCCCCTCCGCTGAGCCCCTGTCACCGAGGTCCCCGTGCAAATGGCGGCCGCGGCGGCGGCTCCGGAGAAGGGCGAGCGGCGGCGGCGGCGGCGGCGGCGGCGGCAGTGGCAGTGGCGGCGGTGGCGGCAGCGGCAGGACGCGCCTGCTCCGTAGCGTCCTCGCTCCTCCGGCCCCGGGGCGGGGCCTCGGCCGGCTCCGCCCCGCCCCGCCCCCGCCGCGCTCGCCCCGCCCCCGCCGCGCCCGCCCCGCCCCCGCCGCGCCGGGCTCCCGTCAGCCCCGGAGGCCGCGCCGTGCGTCACAGAGGCCGCGGCGTGGTGGGCCCCGCAACCGCCGGGCCCAACCGTCCGGGCGCCGGCTGGGAACGGAGCCGCACGTACCTGGGCGTCCGGGTGCCCCTCGCGCGCACGCCGCCGTCGGCCTCGGTGTCCGCGGCCCTGAGCCTGAGTGAAGCCGGACGGAAGTCGCCGTCAGCTCCGTCGTGGATGGAGTGTGGGAGGTGCCGCCCCGCCCGCCGTGCCCTCCCCCACCCGCCCGCCTCCGGGACGTCCTAGGTGTCCGACCCCTCCCGCCGTCTCCGCTCTGAGCACACCCGCGGAAGGGAGAAATGCCGCGACCGCCGAGCACGTGCCCGGCACCTGCCCCGGCGCAGCAGCGCTGGTGCCCCGCGGCCCGCGCCCCGCGCCCTGGCGGGTGGACAGCCGCACGCTTTGGCGGAGGTCCCCAGCCCACCTGCACGGCTGCACGCGCATCTTCGTTGAGTGTGTGAGCCATGGGCGCAAACGCCAGTCCGCACAGCCACGCGCGCACAGCCACGCGCGGAGGCAGCCCCGCGCTGCCGGGTGTGCAAGGAAGCCGCTTGCCCTGCGGTGCACCGCACCCTTGGAAAGCCCCTGCAGGTTCAGAATGAACAGAAAACCCAAAACCTTTCGGACTCAAAGGAGGACCGTGTACTGCTGGCATCAGTGGAGATTTTCCACAAGGTGGTTATTTGCATGTCTTCCCAATCCCTGTGGTTCAAAAGACAAGGAAAAGGGATGTTAAAGATTTAAAATCATCAGGAGAAAAAAGGAAAAGGAGCACATCTCCTCTGAGCCTCTAAGGTTGGTCCAAAGTCCACAAGTCCCTGCGCCAGATTTGGGCCTCCTGTTTTGGGAGCCTCGGTATCCTGGAAAGTTTCTTTGGCAGATGATGAAAGCTGTCAAATAACGAAGCATTGCTCTACTTTTTTTTTCTTGCTGAGAGAGTAGCATGGCTGTAAATATGGAAAACCTGCAAAAAAAAACACACACAAAAAAAAACCCCTATGGAATTTTGGTTCCTTGTATTTGTTGTTACTTTACTACAAATTGGTATTAAAAGTTCCTGAGATTCACCTAGCCAGGAAAAGGAGTAGTAGTGGTTTTTCCGCTATTCACTCTGACAAATTAAACAAAAATAAAGCACTGCATAGAGATAAGTTTCCTTTGGCTACTTCAGATTTGTTGTAAAAGCCCTGGCGGTTTGGCTCAGCGGTTACAGGGTGGGCCTGTCAGCGGAAGGGGGGTGGGTTGGATTCCAGTCAAGGGCACATACCTGGGTTGCAGGTTCCATCCCTGGTCCCCCCGTTGGGTGCTTGTGGGAGGCAACCGATCACTGTCTCTCTCACCAATGTTTCTCTCTCTCTCTCTCCCCCTCCACTCTAAAAATCAATGGAACAATATCCTTGGAGGAAGATTAACAAAAAAATAAATTAAAAATGTGTTGTAAAAGTTCAAAAGGGAAGCCCTGGCCGGTTTGGCTCAGCGTTTGGAGCGTCGGCCTGCGGTACAGAGAGACCCAGGTTCGGTTTCCGCTAAGGACGCATGCCTTGGTTGCAGTTTGTCCCCGGCCCTGGTTGGTCGTGCGGGTGGCAGCCACTCGATGTGTCCCTTCACATCGATGTTTCTCTCTCTCTCTCTTCCTCACTCTCCCTCCCGCTCTATCTGAACAAAAAATGGAAAAATGTCCTCGGGTGAGGATAAAAAAAAAAAAAAAAGTTCAAAAGGGAAAAATGGAACACCAAACAAAGGAAACATTATCAAGTTTCCATCATCTAGAAATAACCACCATGAAGACTTTGTTAAACAGTCTTCCAGAAATCTCTCCAGGCATGTGGATGTGTCCAGAGTCTTTTTTTATTTGTACTTGTCTATTTAAACGTGATTCCATTTTTTTAAATGTTTTTTTTTTTTTCAGATAATCCAAGAACACATGAAATGCCATTGATATCTAAGACCCACACACACACAAAGTATTCATGTAACAGTACATGCCAGAAATGAACATTTATTGTATCAAGTGCTCTTTACTTCAGGCACTTTAAGAGCTACTATAGTATTGGCAAAATGATCAAATAAGTTAATGTACACAACAGTACTTTGTACAGTGTGGGCTGAAAGTAAGACAGTACTGTTCTTGTTCACCTGCAGGGAATGCTGACTGGTTAGCCTGGTAACACATTCATGTCTCAGGGCATTCGGTAAATCTGGGTTGAATGTCTATCATCCATGCAGAATTGAGCTAATTGCTTTAGAGAAGATAAATAAGCAACCAGGGCCTTTGGCTGCCTTCCATGAATTTACTGTCTGGTTAGGGAGGCAAAAGAGGTAGGTATTAAAGTCAAATTGCAATTTACTCAATTAATTCAACAAACATGTCTTGAACAGTTATTATGCCCCACAATCTGGGGAAACAACAATGAACAATACTAATGAAGTCTCTGCCTTCATGGATCTTACATGTAGTGGTAAAGCAAGTGTATAAGGTCAGACAGTGGTTAAGTGCCATAAAGAAAAAGAAAGTAGACCAAAGGGATAGTGACTGTGCTATTTTTAGATGGACTGATCAGGGAGGGCTGCCCTAAGGAAGCAGCAACTTAAGTGGGGCAGTGGGGCATGACCATGTAGGGAATGATCCATCAAGAGGAGGAAATAGCAAGTGCAAAGGCCCTGAGGCAGGAATATAGTTTGTGGGCAAGATGAAAAGGCAATGTAGTTGACTGTTGAATGTGTACCATATTTAGAATCATTAAATATCTCTTGCAGAAGTTTTCTCAAAAATCACTGGGTCTAAAGTAAAAGAGTGGGGAATTTTACACACACAAAAATATATTAACTTTTCTCCAACAAATCCACAATGTTGGTCTCCAAGTAATCTACTTCATCCAAAGAGGCAGACTAATTTCAATCATAAATTTTGTTTTCATTTTACTTTTTAGAACAAAAGAATAGACATTTATTACAGTCTTCAAAACTATCTGCATTAAATTGATGAGCCAAAAAAACAACTATCACAAACCCAGACTTTTCCTCCATAATCTAATGTCCTGTTCATTCTCAGGATTCTCGTTCATAGGGACAAACATGTTGAGCTGCTGGCCTCAACTTGAAAGATTTACTAAAACACTAAGATCCTGCAGGTCAAAAACTGAGTAGAAAAATGAGAAGAAAGCAAATTACCAAAGAATGAAGCAAATTTAAATATAATTTTGTTGCCCTGGCCGGTTTGACTCAGCAGTTAGAGCATGGGCCGGCAGACCAGAGAGACCCGGGTTCGGTTCCCACTAAGGGCACATACCTCGGTGAAGTTTGTCACTGGCCCCGGTTGGGGTCATGTGGGTGGCAACCACTCGATGTGTCTCTCTCACACTGATGTTTCTCTCTCTCTCTTCCCCCTCTCTCCCTCCTGCTCTATCTAAAGATAAATGCAAAAATGTCCTCAGGTGAGGATAATAAAAAATATATATATATATATATGATTTTGTTGATGTATTAACTTGCATAAAACAGAGTGAAACAACACATACATGCTACTACAGAGGGTGATTAGTAGTTGGCATTGTAATGAAATCGTAGGCAGCATGTGATTATATTACTACTCTTCAGAGTTAGCAAGACCCATGGCTGACAGCCATACAGTAGAGTTGTTAGTATCTTCAGGGTTCAAGTGATGAAGCATCTGTTCCAGGTATTAGTAACCTTGAGCTTAGGCCTCATTTACAAACTGTCCCTTTTGTGCATAAACTATACATTATTATGTGTCTTTTTCTCCTTCGTGAAATGAAAACAAAGTAGATTCCAAGTAGGGGGATCTTTTTCAATGAGATTTCAAAATAATGGGCAATGTGGAGACTGGATCCGGTGCTGGACAGTCAAATCTGGGGTACGTGTGTGTATGTGCGTGTGTATGACAGCTTTGTAGTATAATGTATGTACTATAAAATTTGCTCATTTTAAGTGTGAACATTTTTAGTAAAGTTAGAGTTCTGCAACCATTGCCACCATCTAGTTTTGGAATATTTTTTCAACCCCCCCCAAAAATCTCTAGGGCTCGTTGGCAGTCGGTGCCTTTTCCAAGCCCCAGGCAACTACTAATGTACAACTTCTAGAGATTTGTCTTCTGTGGATAATCTCTGTTTCGAGTGGCGTTTCCATAGACTTTGACTTTGGTGGCAGCTAACGCCTCCACAGAGAGCTGCTTGCCTGGCCTAATGACAATGGAGAAAACCACAACGCCGGTCAAGTTTCTTCTGGGCTATTAAGGCCGCTCCTTATTCCATCTTTGCTGTTACAAGGGAAGTGGTATCCTTTGTCGTGAGTGTGCAGAGCAGGTGATGGTCCCCAGGCAGCCACTGAGAGAGAGCCTGGAAACTCAGCCAAGCTCCAACACCCAAATACCTTGGCATCTCACCATTTCTTCTTAACTCCTCGCTGCGGTGTGGTCTGTGGATGAGGGAGGAGAACCCAGGCAAGGTGGTCTGGCCTAAGACGGTGCTCACCCACCACTGCGTTGGT